GGGGTGGGGCGAGGCCGATCTCGGCTGGAAAGAGGAGAGGCGAGCCAAGCTGGCCCAGTGCAAGCAAAACCTGGAGAACGTCCCCAGCACTGACACCATCTACTTCCTCCAGGTGCCTGGGTGGGATGGGGCGAGGAGAAGGAGCCGACAACGTTGTCTTTTGGGGTTTTGTCCCATTTCACGTGGAGCTGGGTGCCAGGAGCCCTGGGGCATGGGGCTGCAGCGTCTCGCTCCCGTTGGTACAGTCCTCTCCCCTCCCCACTCCTGGGGGGAGCGGGCGGCCAAGACTTTCTCCTCCATCACCCCCACCTCCATGCTGGCCGTGACTCGGGAGAAGCTGACGTGCTGCCCGGGCTGGGTACCTGGGTGTGGGGGGCAGGGAGCGAGAGGTTGGGGTGCCCCACTGCCCCCATCCAGCATCCCCCCCTCCCCAGCAGCCCAGCAAGAGGAGACCTTTTTGGTAGGAGATGCTGCTCCACGTGAGGTGGGCATGGTCTGGGTCCAGGTTTGAAAGGGAGCGAAGAGAAGGTGCCAGGAACACGCGGCCGGGAAAGCGCTCTCCTCCTTTATGCAGGGCTGTCCTTGGGCCAAGTCCTGCGAGCTGCCAGCTCCCAAATCCTCCGGGGCAGGGTGGGGTTGTGGAACAAGAGACAACTTCGGCTTGTTTGAAACCTCCTGAAACTCCGTCTTTTTGGCTCAGGAATTTCAGGCCTTAAAAGCAGCCGTGGAAGAAAACCCTTCCCCGGCTCTGAGCTTCCAGAACGAGCTGAACTTCACCAAATGCACCCAAGCCGTGGGCTCCGTGAAGGACGTGCTGTCCGCTACCTGCAAAAACCAGTGGGACCACTTGCAGGGGAAAGGAATTGATGGGCTGAGTTTCCAGGAGATGGAGGAAGGTTTGTGTTCACCCAGCCCCTCTGCCCGGAGGTCACCCCGTCACCCTCCATCCTCCCCGCGTAGGTGGGAGATTCCTGCAGGCTCGATGGCTCCTGCGAGCGCTGGCCCCCCTACCCACCAGCCCTGGAAGCTGCCCGGCATGGTTGTGCTGCACGTTGCACAATCCCTGTCTGGGCTTACGCCTCGTCCTTGAGGTTTTATGAATTTTTCCACAGAGACTGGAGACTGGAGAGGCAACAAACAGCCTGGGAGTTAGGCAGGGCCCTGCGGGAGGGGGCAAGTGGCCAAAGTGGCCTCCCATGAAAGGGGACTCTTTCTTCCCAGGATAGACGATGCTCTTCACGGGGCAGGCTGTGGCCTCCCAAACCTGCCAGGGTTAGAAAGCCACCGCGGCAGCTTTCTCCCGCACTCTCTCGTTTAGCCTGAGCTCTCTCCTCTCTCTATTTTCTCAGATGCCCGTGGGAATTGCAGCCGGTTCCTTGCCCCCGCCCCCATCTCCCTGGGATGGCAAAGGTGGCATCTGTCCTTTCCCGTGTCCGAGCCAGCAGGGATGTGCTGGGGGAGCTGGGGATGCCGGCTGGGGCTCGGGGGCCGCCGGCGGTGGGGGGCA